GAAATGGATAGGAGGGATGTCCATCCAGAAGCAGAAGTCGTGAGAACATCTGAAGTACTACGATCATTGACCCCAGCAGAGCTCCGGGATTTAAGAAAAGATTATAGTCGCCGGCCTGGTGAACGAATTCTAACCTGGCTGGTAAGGTGCTGGGACAACGGAGCTAGAAGTCACATGCTGGAAGGTCACGAAGCACAGGAGTTGGGATCTCTGGCTCGAGACCGTGAGATTGAACAAGAGATTGCACGAGAGCGATTTAGTCATAGTCTCTGGCTTAGGATCCTTACTGCGGTGAGAGAGAGATATCCATTTAAAGAGTACTTAACAAGTTCTCCAAGAAAATGGACAACTGCGGAAGAAGGTATTCAATATCTACATGAACTGGCCATGCTTGAACTTATCTTCAGTAAGCCGGACTATTATGATATCTTAGACCCTGCGCGTCTCCCGTGTACCAATCCAATGTGGAGAAAAGTGATCAAAGGTGCCCCTGCACAATATATCAACTGCCTAATTTCAGCATTCCATCCAAAGTTAGATGAACCCGATGTAGAAACAATGTGTCAGTGGATACAGACTACAGCAGAGAATTTCGAAGATCTTTCTGAAGTCCGACGTCAACCCACCCACTCTAAGGGAAGAATGGAAAGAGATTATGAATATTCCCAATATGAGGATGACTATGAAGACGGAGATAACTACAGAGACACACCAGTAAAGCGATCTAGACCACAAGCTCGACCTCAACCTCTATCTTGGTCCAGATCTCGGTCAACAACTCCTCCCCCTACACGCAGGAGGAAGGGCCCTAACCGTCAATCACGAAATCAGTTGTGGTCCTACTTAAGCAATCAGGGAGAGAACATGAAAAAATGGGATGGACAGCCCACTTCCAAACTTCAGGCCAGAGTGAAAGAGCTGAAGCAGAAGGAAGCCAACAAGAAAATTGTCTTTGTAGTTGATGCAGATTTTGTGGAAAAGCAGTTGCGATCTCCACAATACAAGAAGACTGCAGTTCACTTTCCAGACAACAAGAAGGCCACTGGTGGAGCAAAGAGGACATCTGACACTGAATGCTCTGACAAGGACCAATAGAGGGGCCCTGCCTTCTGCCAGGAGAAGGAAAGGGACCTGAAGGACAATCGGGTTTACTGGGCTGTGTGGGTTCGATGGCCTGGCACCTCGGATCCACAGAGATACCGGGCTTTAATAGATACCGGTGCCCAGTGTACATTGATGCCATCTGAACACAAGACTACAGAAACTGTGTCTATTTCTGGGGTGACAGGAGGGTACCAAGAGTTGTCAGTGGTAGAGGCCGAAGTAAGCTTGACTGGAGACCAATGGGAAAAGCATCCCATTGTGACAGGGCCAGAAGCTCCTTGTATCCTTGGTATTGATTACCTGAGAAGAGGATACTTCA